GAGCCACTCACATGGATATTTTCAACAAAAATGGGTCTCCAAAGGTGTTGGCCAAACCACAAATAATTTTGAAATCTCTTATGGTCTGGCAAAAAAAATTGGAAAATTGGCGTGCCTTTAGGCAGGACTCTGGTTTCAATGCAAAAGAATCTTGCCAAGGAAACTTGTATTTAGAATTGTACGATGTATAAATGGAAAACCGCGCAAAATTACTCCTAAGTTTCAAAATTCGTTCCAATGGCACTAGCAGCTTAAATGGAACCAAATTTACATCCCATGTAAACTCAAGCTCTCGTTATCGCGTGCAGAAACCCTCATCCCGATGTCTCAACTGCTCCGGCAGAAATCGTCTTCAGAACTGTACAACGTAAAAATAAAAAACCGCGCAAAAACACTCCAAAGTTTAAAAATTCTTTCCAATGGCACCAGCGGCTTAAATCGAGCCAAATTTACACCCCATGTAAACTGAAGCTCTTGTTGTCGAGTGCAGAAACCCTCATTCCGATGTCTCAACTGCTCCGGCAGAAATCGTCTTCAGAACTGTACAACGTAAAAACAAAAAACCGCGCAAAAACACTCCAAAGTTTAAAAATTCATTCCAATGGSACCAGCGGCTTAAATGGAACCAAATTTACATCCCATGTAAACTGAAGCTTTCGTTGTCGAGTGCAGAAACCCTCATTCCGATGTCTCAACTGCTCCGGCAGAAATCGTCTTCAGAACTATACAACGTAAAAATAAAAAACCGCGCAAAAACACTCCAAAGTTTAAAAATTCATTCCAATGGCACCAGCGGCTTAAATGGAACCAAATTTACACCCCATGTAAACTGAAGCTCTTGTTATCGCGTGCAGAAACCCTCATTCCGATGTCTCAACTGCTCCGGCAAAAATCGTCTTTAGAAGTGTACGATGTAAAAATGAAAAACCGCCCTCCAAGCAAAGTACTTGTACAAAGTTGAAAAATTCATGCTGATCGATGGCGTTAGCAACTGAAATGGAACCAAATTTACATCATGTGTAAACTGAAACTTTAGTTATCGAGTGTTGAAACTCCCCGTATCTGCAGCCTGTTTATCACGCTTGAACTGCCTTGTCTTGTCCCAAAATATTTGAATCCTCCTGTATATTTTGAGTAAATTAAGTGGGTTAAATGCGAGTAAAATGTGAATTGCAAACGCGGTAATAATCCCTGGTCGTTTACCGCCGATTCGAGCAGAAGCAACAGCAGGCTGATTTTTCCCATAAACGCAGGATATTATTGGCCTGCTCGCTTACCCAACCGATGTCCAACAGATATCCCAATGTTATCGGGTGGGTGGTAGGAGCGATTAGTGCCACTAAACAACCTCGTTCGATTCAAATTCCAAGTTGATGGGCTGGTTGAAGATGAGAGCCAGCCGCTCGGGTACGTTGGCGACTGTTTGCTAATAGGTGCGGGTACCCGACGTATTTTCGCTGGTTTTCCAATGCGCTTTCGGCCGATAATTAACTGCACAAATCCCTCAATTATCCGCCAGTTTTATGCATCCGAATTGCGGTGGTACCGTTAAAAATCGCCGCAACTACTACTACACACCATGGTCGATGATTTGCTTAGATAAATACGACGACGACGACGAAGAACCGAAAAGGGTACCGTACATTGCACAATGGCCCAATGGAGCGATCGCCTGGCTGCCATTCATCGCCAGAGTACCATCGAGGGTACCGATTTTTACCGCGCAATTCCATTTGGAGAGCAAATTGCAAAAGTGAAGTTCTATTCTTGTCCTAGCACGATAATCCGCGCACAGATGTTTTGCACTTCATTAAGAGAGTGTTTGGAAAGGTAATGGGTTTGGTACCCCGTCGTGGTGGAAATGTTTGCGGTTTTACTTCAAAACGGCCGTTTCGGTACCGCTCCGAGTACCACTCGGCATACCTAAAGTTGCAGATTTTCCTTCGAAAATCTCTCGTTAATGGCCAACACTCTTCACGTGTATGTGACTTTTTTGTCAACAATTGCCATATTCAACGCGGAAATGGAGCATTGCCGTCGGCTTCTGTATGGTTCCAATGTTTTATTCAAATCGTCAAAACTTAGGTCGATAAAACGATTTTTCTAATATAGGATTGATCAATATTTATCCAAAAAAATGAGTTTCTTGCATGTATAACAACCGAGGAGAAATCATTTTTGTTGTATAAACCGTACGTTTTGCATATTTTTAGCTCAATATCTAATGGTGCGTCCAGACTTGCCGAGCCGAGCCTGAGCCGCGGCAAATTTCTTTCCGGTTTCCTCAAGACAGAAAATGAATGATATGTTGCTGTTTTGACAAAACATCAAATTAATCTGCCGCGCTTCAGGCTCAACTCAGGCTCGGCTCGGCAGGTCTGAGTCTCTTTTGCCTTCATAGAGCTTCGAACTCTACGCAAAGCCCTACTATGCGACGGTCCGTTTCTGCGCCATCAAACCTAACAAATCATTGAAACTGTTGAGTTTTTCGGGCTTTTCCGTACAATTTCTTTACAACACGCTCTTAACAGGGACATGAGGCAAATATTCGTTGATCTTCATTCCGCTTGGGCGGCTATTTTGCCTTCAAAGTTCAGAGGTGTTCTGTGGCCTTCCACCTCCTTGATGTCAATCGCGTATTTGTTCGTATCGCACGAGCGGGAACGAACAAAACTGCATGGTTGCTCGACGTCAGAACGCGCATACATTCCGATAGCACGCATTTTAAAAACTACAAATATAAGGGCAATATTAATTTAATTAACTCAATTAGTCCGATGCGTTAAATGCGCATTTATCGTCGGCTGCATTTTTCATGTGTGTGCATACGTTCCGGACGTTCGATGCGAGCAACTACGCACAAAAGTTATGCTTTGTGCGCGCGCATTTCAACATCAACCAACTTTGAGGAATAAATATCGTTTCTACTTACTCTGGAATATTGAAACCCCCTTTGTTAGCGGCACCTTCATTATCCGGGCCATTTTCTTCTTCTTGGAGGTCTTCAACTGGTTGCCAGCATCCAGTTGATCTCTTCTGCTCAATTTGGGCGAGGAATGCACTGAAATGTGCCAATCAACGCAGTCTTTCGGGAGTTTGCCACATTGGCAGTCACTCAATCACGACGAACTCGCGTTTTACTTGAATTTTGTTGAACTAAGTTGGATTTTGACGGCGGAGATTTTCCACCCAGGTCCAATGTGGACAGTGTCCAAAAGTTGGCATGGTAACGAAGCGGAAGGGTTTGTTTTGATTTCCGATTTTGTTGGCGCCAAATTCAAAATTAGTTTTTCGTTTTGAGCATCCTACCAGCGGGGCGGAAGGAATATGACCGTTTTCCCATTTTAAATAAGTTCCAGAAGCATAATATATACATATATACGTTGGCAACTCGTAAATTTCCGTTATCTAACTAATTTGTGCAGACAAAAGCTCAAAAAAACTGTTTTTGAATTTGGCGCCAGTCTATATCCTCCAAGATAACAAATCCTTCAATTTAGTTGCCATGCCAACTTACCCCACTGTCAACATTGGGCCCGATTGGATGCTCTCCGCTGTCCAGTTTGTTTAGTAGTAATCTCCAGTTTTTGACTAATTTCCGAATAATCAAGTAAATCGTTAGTTTGTGCTGGTTTGTGGTTATGGAGTAATAGCGAATGAAGCTGTTTCTCAAAGAAATGCGATTTATCGGCATATTTGTTTGAATCCGGACTTTCAGTGCAATTCCTGCCCAAAATGAGCCCTGGAGGTGATCTGGCTGCTGGAAAGCAGTTAAATCTGTTTGAGGAACAGGAAAATGGTCTGAGTAATGAAGATGCTGCTGTCAAAAGGTGTTTAGATATTTTAGAGTGAGTAGAAAAAGTTTTTTAGTTTTGAAACGCGCACGCATATTACTTATGTGCGCATTGAAACGAATAAATGCTCATGAAAATAAAGCAAATGTTCTGGTTTGCAGAAAATTGTGCAAAATGCAGCCTTAATTTGATTGAGGATTCAAATGTGAATATTTGCGCTATTTTAAACGATATTAGCGTATATACCTAACGATTGTTGCGTCACGCAAGCCACCTCTGAAGGTGCAAGCCACTCGTGCTTGCAAAACGTCAGGATGAATTCTTCTGAAAAAAGCCCAACTATTCTAACCAATCATTCCCTACTGCGGATTTTTCGTCATTTATTGCCGATTAGCCGTGAAACGAGCACTATTTACGACAAATTACAACAGCCACTGAACAAGCAATGGCGTTAAATGTATAACAGCGCATCGAGGATAAGTTGCGTGCAATAAATCGATTATAAATGTGTTTGGCAGAAAAGTATTCGGTTACGCGCAGAAACATTATCCATTTCAAGTTCGCTAGGAAAACGGCCTGAGGATGATTGAGATTCTCCAAGTCCCATCTATTAGAAACCTCTAGGCCTGGGTAACACTGTGTTGAGTTGCACTCTTTAAGTTAATGAGTTTTAACTCATCGCTTGAAGAGTTATAAGTCGTTTATCGAAGACCGAGATTGGAATTTCAACAACCAAGAAAAAGTTATCAACATTTATTATGAGCAATGTTTTACCTGAGCGTCGGTGCGTTGGGTTGGCGCACCAAGCCATTTGCGCAGCATTGCGCCAACTCCAAAAAAATCACTGAGTTACCCAGTGCTAGTCTGATGAACTGAACGATTTGTTATCAATTTTGTGCATTATAATGTGGGTGTCGTCGGCCCAAGTACAACAATCGATGGTTAAGGCAAAAAGCGACATTGTAGTTTCAAGAAATGGTAAATTAAGCGCGTCGAATCGGCTCGGGCTCCTTCAATGGACGATTTTCCATTCGAATGGACACGCAAATGCCATTTCCTTGATTCGGAGGTGTGAAAATTGCGTGAATTTGCCGACTCGGTTTTTTTCTTGGTATTGAGAAGCGTGCGCAAACAATGGCGCGGCACGCCCGACCACTAATCGCTTTGACGTTGACGGTTCTTAACCTCAGCCTTCTGTCGTTACACTTAAATAAGCGGATTAATGCTCCCCCAGTCTCGCCAGCTCTGATTAGTTGCTTAATTAATAATTAAATTAAATTATCTCCAATTTGACGAATTTTTGACGGAAATTTGATGGGGTTATGTAGACACGATGAATTTCCGCAAAAAGTTCAATATCGAATTTTAGTCGGCCCAATCCGTCGGGCTGGGGTGTTCTAGCACAAAATTGAAATTAGAATTAAAAAAAAATATCGTCTCAAAAAATAAAAAGTGAAAATTAAACGATCGATGCTACGTGTAAATGAAGTGACGTTCAATATCTTATGCACCAGTGCATTCCAATGAGTGAAAATGATCGAAAGATTTACACAAAAAAAAACAATAAGGAATAAAAAAATGAATTATCTGGCAAGTCAGTATAAGGTTTGTTTAACTAAAATCTCCCATCAACTGCGTTGCAAAATGAGATAATGCATTTCTTTCTCCTCGATAACAAATAGTTAACTGTGACAACGCTGGTTTTGCGACGTTATCTAGTTGAATTTTTTCAATTTTCTGAAGTTTCAACAAAAGTGTTGGTGATTTCTAGAGAAATTTACCATTTGGACCATGCCAGGGTTTTTCTTATCGAAGCTGCTGAATATTAAATGTGCTTTAAGTAAAAAAAACAAAACTTGGAATTCCAGGTTCCTCAAACGGACAAACGCGCTTTTCTGAAATCCTGCTGTTCTTGAGGCAGTGCGGCAGCGCTGGTGGCAAGTTCCGTGCAGTAGTGACGCTCCCAAGAGATGAGCTGCGACATCTACTGGCGCAAGCTGTAACACGTCAGCTCAGTGGTGAATCTCTCAAGGTTACTGTTTAACCGATGAGCGCGAACACACGTTCATCGACTCTGTGGATTAGTAAGCGCTCGGCGCTCGGTTTGCCGTGGTAAACAAGGTCAAAGTCCACTAGTCCATTGAAGTCGGTGCAGGGTCCAATTGTTAGTAGTTTCCTTTTGATCCTGTGATTTTGTTCATTTTCCTTCGGTATTTATCAGTCAAAAGCCGCCCATCCGGTCCGCGAGTGGCAGTCCCTGATTTCGTGTAGTTTGTCCCCCCAAATATTCCACATGGCCTACTTGCCCAGAACGGTAGTCAGGGGAACCAGAATGCTTGGGAAAACTCTCAACCAATCCGGTTCGGTGCGGGCATTTTCGCTGGGCCCGCAGCTCAGCGCAAAGAAAACGCTCAAGCCCATTGGCCAGAACATTGTCCTGGTGGATGGGGTGAGAACGCCCTTTTTGATGTCGGGCACCGACTATGCCAAACTGATGCCCCACGAGCTGGCCAAAGTGGCCCTTAGGGGGATTCTGCAGAAAACTGGCGTGCCCAAGGAGATGATTGATTATATTATCTATGGAGCGGTCATTCAGGAGGTTTGTACCTACCTAGTCCACCTGTTACTTGCAGCTGTAAACTTCTTTTGGTGGCAGGTGAAAACATCGAACATTGCCAGAGAGGCGGCTCTATGTGCCGGCTACAGCGACAAAACTCCTGGCCACACAGTGACCATGGCCTGCATATCCTCGAACGTAGCTATGTCGACAGCAGTGGGGCTGATCAACAGCGGCGTCTACGAAATGATCGTGTGCGGCGGGGTGGAATTCATGTCCGACATTCCAATCAGGCACAGCAGGAAGATGCGCAACCTGCTGCTCAAGGCGAACAAGGCCAAAACCATCCAGCAGAAGTTGGGCCTGCTGGCCAGCATCCGGTAAGTCACGCAGCGATTGGCGGAGGTTCGTTCACTAACTGATGACACTTGCAGGCCGGACTATTTTGTGCCGGAGCTGCCAGCAGTGGCGGAGTTTTCTTCCGGTGAGACCATGGGGCATTCCGCCGACCGATTGGCCGCCGCCTTCGGGGCCACTCGTAAGGAACAGGACGAATTTGCACTCCGGTCGCACACATTGGCCCAACAGGCTCAGGAGAAGGGCTACTTGACTGACGTGATTCCCATTCAAGTGCGTTTTAACCGGCGACGGCTGTCTGGGCCCTGCCTTATCGCATCAACTATTTCTTCTATTCCAGGTCCCAGGCAGTGACAAGGAAATCACAAAGGATAACGGAATCAGAGTCTCGACACCTGAGCAACTGGCCAAACTTAAACCGGCATTTATCAAGCCCCACGGAACGATCACAGCGGCGAATGCTTCCTACTTGACGGACGGAGCCTCGGCTTGCATCGTTACTACGGAGGCCAGAGCCAAAGCTCTGGGTATGTCGCTAGTCAAATGGCTGGAACACTTAAGGCTCATTCTGTCGACTTTGCAGGCCTGAAACCGAAAGCCTATCTCAGGAACTTCCTGTACGTGTCTCAGGACCCCATCGATCAGCTGCTGCTGGGACCTGCCTATGCGACGCCACAGATTCTGGATAAAGCTGGACTCACCCTTCAGGACGTTGATACTTTTGAGTTCCACGAAGCTTTTGCAGGTAAATTGGGCTTAGTGAGCGAGTGTTTTTATCGAGTCTTGACGAAATGGCGAATGCCACTCTTATATACAGTAATTGACCACAGATCATTTTAATTCGGTTGGAAGCCAGCCCTGTCAATGCGGTTTGTTCTGTACACTGGCAAATAAACAAGGAGAACAGTAGGTTTGTTCCTGTCGGACAGAGATAAGAGCGTTGGCTAATCCAGTCTAGACAGGGCCACATTCAGGACGTTTTTCTTACATGTACAGGGTGCCCTTTAAGCAGATGATCAAAAGGGTGCTGCGATATTCTTTGCATCAAAAGAAGACGATGTGAGCTAAGTTTCCTTAACAAAAAATGTTCTTCAAAAAAATTATTGTTTTTGAAATATCGGGAGTAGTGAAACGTACGATGTATTTTGGTAAAACTCGCTGTGAATATGTTCGTTCATGGCAGGCCCGGAATACAAGATTTAGCCGTGCGTATTCGTGATACAATTGAACTCAGTGCGAGCGCGAAAACAGTGTCAACTTTTCCGGTTTTTTTTAATTGCCACCCCAGATTGTCGGTTATGACGTATTCATTCTATGTTCAGGACAGATTCTGGCTAACTTCAAAGCAATGGACAGCGACTGGTTTGCGCAGAGGTACATGGGCAGAAGCGGCAAAGTGGGAGCGCCACCACTAAACAAGTTCAACTTGTGGGGCGGATCGCTGTCGATCGGCCACCCCTTCGCCGCCACTGGCGTGCGCCTGGCGATGCACACAGCCAATCGGCTGGTGCGTGAAGATGGGCAGATTGGACTGATCGCAGCGTGCGCTGCCGGCGGCCAGGGCGTGGCAATGCTGCTGGAAAGACATCCAGATGCCACACCCAATTGAGTTCGCTATGATGAATGAGGGAAATTGTGATGAGAATTTTTTTTATACTAATTTTTAAATTATTTTCTTTTTGGTTTTCTTTAGCCTTTTAAGTTGCATTGTTCAGCCCACAAGTGTAAATATACATATGCACGAATCTACAATTGTTTACCCATGGGATTTTTTGGAAACATGGAAAAACGGTTTTTGATTGTGCATTGCTTTACTTTCTTATTATTTTATTGCTATTTACTTTAGGATTCCTAAGACTTGCAAATTTGGCATTTTTTAATTGTCTTTTACTGTCCGTTTCTCAATATTCAAGATGGGAATGGAATTCATTCCGGAGCCGGTTTCTGCAATAAAAATCTTAGTCTATGTGAACTGATGAAGTTACCGTAATTAGTCTGACTGGGGGGTTTTAAATCTATAACATTGGCTGCCCTGACACCACAGATTACAGAGTACCTCTGTGATCTGTGCCTGACACTTCTATGACGTTTCCAGGAATTATTTATCTTTCTGTCACACAGATAAAAAAGTGGCCACATTTTCAATTTTGCCGTTGAAAAAATACAGGGCTGTGCAGTAGGCTTGTAGATAAATGCGAGAGCCCCCAATACTGCAGACGGTGTGAGTGAATGTGATGGACTAAAGTGATTGAAAGCTAGTGAAGATGGGCCTAACAATTTCTACGGTATTCACCAGACTGTTCAGCAAAAAGCCCATGAGGATCCTCATGGTGGGTCTGGACGCTGCAGGGAAGACTACCATACTGTACAAGCTGAAGCTGGGCGAAATCGTCACCACCATACCCACCATCGGCTTCAATGTGGAAACCGTCGAATACAAGAACATTTCGTTTACGGTGTGGGATGTGGGCGGCCAGACAAAGATCCGGAAGCTCTGGAGGCACTACTTTGCCAACACGGACGGCATTATTTTCGTGGTCGACTCCAACGATCGCGAGCGAATCGCTGAGGCCGAACAGGAGCTGCACAACATGCTAGATGAGGAAGAACTGCGGAATTCCATCCTGCTGGTGTTTGCCAACAAGCAGGATCTGCCCAATTCCATGTCCACGGCGGAGTTGACCGATAAACTCAAGTTGAACGCGATGAAAAACAGAAAGTGGTACATTCAGGCCACGTGCGCCACTCAGGGCTCCGGGCTTTACGAGGGCCTCGATTGGCTGTCCAACGAATTGGCCACCAGATAGACCTGTATAATTTCAATAGCTTAAGTTATGTTATCTGTATCTTATCGTGTATTAATCCGTATTTACTACCGAATGCTGTGCACTGGGCTGCTTCGTTGTGGGATGAGGTGTAATAATAAAAGACTGCAAAAACCGTACATCGACTAAATAAAAACCAGTTAATTATGAAAGTATTTAATTGGGACACACTGATTATTCAATTTAACAACAAAGAATGGTATTAGATATTATACTATAATATTAATAACAAGAACGACTCAGCCTCGATCCGCAGCAGCATCTGCTTCATCTTCAGTTTGGTGTGGAACAGTGATATTAAGCAGCGTTCGAAGCCAGAGCACTATCACATACGATCACTAGTCTACTAGTTCAGTCTCCACTAGAAAACCCGATCTTGATACCCGCCGTCCTGCACAGAGGAGGCAGACGGCCTGGGCATGGAATGGTGCCTGTTGACTTGCGTGGCTCGGCGAGCCGGCGCCAGGAACTCGAACATGCTCTGCGTGTGGGTCGCCAGCATTTTCGACAAATCCACCGGCATTGGATCGGTCCAGAAGAAGTCGTGGTTAAGGGCGCCATCGGCATCCAACCGCTTAGACGGGTCCAGAGTCAGCAGCTTATCCAGAAGATCCACAGCCCAGGGGTCCTTCATGTACGGCCTCAAGCGTTCCTTTACCTAAAGCATTCGATTGCTTATACTGCTGGGCTACACACAAACGTGAGCAATTCTACCTGGCCTTGATAGCCAAACAGCGTTTCCGAATTAATATTCCAGTATTATTCTAAAACCAACCTTGCGCTTCTGCTCCTGGGGCAACTCCATGTTGTTGTACATGTCCAACTTTTCCACCCCCGGCCAACTGGTCGGGTTGATCGACCCACATAGTTGAGATATGAGAGTCAGTTGCTGTTGCTCACTGTTGCCCTACGAAGGACAACGACCGTGTAAATCAAGTGCATTTTTTCCCAATCCGCATGATTCGCCTTACCTGCATGATGGGACTTCTGGTCCACATCTCGGCCATTATGCAACCGGCGCCCCACAAGTCTACCGGAGGCCCATAATTCCTGTCGCCCAGTAGCAGCTCGGGTGGGCGATACCACAGAGTGACCACTCTATTAGTAAACCTGCGGAGCAGCGAAACTAGGTTAGCAACTGGCGCTGGCTGAAAATCCACCCTGACCAACCTACCTATTGGGAACCCCAGTCTTGCTAGTGCTGAACGCTCTGGCGAGGCCAAAATCTGCGAGTTTTAGGATGCCGCCCTTCGTGATGAGCACGTTGGCCGCTTTCATGTCGCGATGCAGGATTTTATTAAAGTGAATGTAATACAGGCCGTTCAGCAGCTGTTGCATCACTTTCTTAATCTCCCCCAGGCTGAACTTCACGTTCACGTTGGAGAGCAGTCCAGCGAGGTCGTGCTCGCAAAAATCGAAGACCAAGTAAAACGTGGATCGGTACCGATTGTGCAACGATGCTTTGGTGCGGCAGATCTCGATCAGATTGACCACGTTGTCATGCTTGAGCAGCTGTAAAATGCGAATCTCCCTCAGCGCAGTGATCGGAAAGCCCTCCTTCTCGTTATCCATCAGCACTTTCTTCATGGCCACGAATTTCTTCGGGTTGTTGATGTCGCGTGCTTTGAAGACCTCACCAAATGTACCCTGGCCGATTTTGGCCACCGTCTGGTACTTCGTGGCCTCCTCACAATAGGGAAAGCTGAAGGTCTCGATGTACTTTTCTTTATCTCTCATACTCATGGTGATGCTACTATGATGGCTTGAATGATGCTTACTTTGCATTTTCAATACCCGAAACACTCACTACTTCTTGTTCGTCTCGACCCGATCGATTCAAACACCACTTTTATTCACAAATCGCAGAAGAAAGCCCCAAACTATCAAAAACAAAAAACACAATCCGTCCTTGGACCAGACAGAACTAACTGTTCATAGATAAAGACAAGTAACTGTTTGTCAATCATGTGGGATTGCGGGATCATATGGTGGAACCAGGGTGGCCAACCTTTCAAACGCGTATTACCGTATTTTACGGTACCAGAGATTTTGACCAGAAAGATCCAGAAAAACAGTCCAAAAAAGTCCAACCAACCCATAGTCAGAGTTGCCAACGCCGTTCAACGAATCCCGGACTAGTTCCTTTACACATGGTTGTTGAACGGCGTTGCCAGGTGTGCACCACAGGGGGATGTTCTGTGGGTACAGGTTCCTCCTCCTGTTCTTTTACAGATTACAAACCCTTCTTTGCGACATAGTACACATAGGTTAAATTCAGTAATATTTATCATTCAGGGTTATGTTTCTCTAAAAAATAACACTGATTTTTAAGGCATTTTTTCCCAAACTGCTGCAATGGAAAGCAGCCGAGAGCCGCAAGGCAAACGGCCCAAACTAGAGCCCACTGATGGTAAGTCCAACCAGCGAACACTCCTAATTTGTGGTTAATCGGCATACTCATCTTCTAGCCCTGCTGGACGAGCCGGCCTCCCAGCCCCCCATGGGTAAGTAGGAGCCCGAAGTTCACCAGGGGTGTTATTTGGCCCAGTTGCAGGTGCCAAAATCCCGAGACTGTGCCCCTATCTGGACACTATAAATCGCCAGTACCTGGACTTTGACTTCGAGAAACTCTGCTCCGTTTCGCTGACCAGGATCAACGTCTACGCCTGCTTGGTGTGCGGAAAGTACTTCCAGGGGAGGGGCACCAACACCCACGCCTACACCCATTCGGTCGCCGAGGGGCACCATGTGTATCTGAACTTACACACTTTGAAGTTCTACTGCTTGCCAGACAACTACGAGATCATCGGTGAGTTGGCTGCCCTTTACTCCCTTTACTGCTACCAATATCAGATTGCTGCAGATTCATCCCTGGACGACATCAAGTACGTGCTAAACCCCACATTCACAGCTGATCACATAAAACACTTGGACAGCAGCACCAAACTGTCCAGGGCCATTGATGGCTCGCTCTACACTCCAGGAATCGTCGGGCTAAACAACATCAAAGCCAACGACTACTGCAACGTGGTTTTGCAGGTATATGGGGTTTAAGCTATCCAAGCCAACCTCTTGTTAATATCCGGCAATTGTTCAGGCATTGTCGCATGTGGCCCCGCTGCGCAACTACTTCCTGCGGGAGGCGAACTACTCAAAAGTGCGCAGGCCGCCTGGCGACTCCTCCTTCCTGCTGGTGCAGCGGTTTGGGGAGCTGATGCGCAAGCTGTGGAATCCACGGAACTTCAAGGCGCACGTATCGCCCCACGAGATGCTCCAGGCCGTTGTGCTGTGGAGCAAGAAGCGCTTCCAGTTCACCCAACAAGGCGATCCAATCGACTTTCTCTCCTGGTTCCTCAACGCCCTGCACAAGGCCCTGAACGGCACCAAAAAGCATGAGAGCTCCATCATCTACAAGTCCTTTCTGGGCAGCATGAAGATTTTTTCCAGGAAAATTCCGCCGATCGATATGGACGAGAAGCAGAAAAAGTCGCTCCTGTTAACCAGCGACTATCAGGAGGTGGAAACGGAGTCGAATTTTCTCTATTTGACTTGCGACCTGCCGCCTCCGCCTCTATTCATTGATGCCTTCAAGGAGAATATCATTCCGCAGGTAAAGGATGTTCGACCCAAAACCATGGGCATCTACTCTTTACACTGAAATCCAGGTGAATCTCTATCAACTGCTGGCGAAATTTAACGGCCAGTCGGAGAAGGAGTACAAAACCTACAAGGAGAACTTCATGAAGCGCTTCGAAATCACGCGCCTGCCCCCTTATTTGATCCTGTACATCAAGCGCTTCACGAAAAACACCTTCTTCGTCGAAAAAAACCCGACTATAGTCAATTTTCCTGTTAAGTGAGTGCACTTCAGCTAGGTTAATTCAGTTCAAGTTGCGCTTCAACACCGCTTGTTGTTACAGAAACGTGGACTTCGGGGAGTTTCTCACACCGGAAGTGAAGGCCCAACATCAGCACACCATTTACGACCTTACGGCGAATATTGTTCACGATGGGGAGCCCAGCAAGGGCACATACAGGGTGCACATTCTGCAGAAATCCACTGGCCAATGGTACGAGATGCAGGACTTGCACGTCACGGACATTCTACCGCAAATGATCACTTTGACTGAGGCGTATATTCAAATTTACGAACTGCGAACGTCCTAAATTAAAGAGTCCCCAGGACGTGTTTTACCGACAAGTTCTCTATTAATCCCCGATGAACACAACTGCTTAAAAACTCTAGACTTTATTGAAACTTTGTTAATATTTACAGGCAATTTCTCGATGGAGCAACTTAAAAAAAAACTCGCTACTCGCACAACCTTAAAAAGCTAATCAGTGAAACAGTTACTTGGGCCAAGGCCTGGCGAAGGCCTCGACTACGAAAAACAGTTTAGTTCCCCCATAATAACCTACAGTGGATTTATCAACTCATTTATCACATATCCAGTCGCTTGGCTTTGCGTTTTCTGGCCTTGCCAGTCGCCTTATCGCCTGCCTGACTGCCTTCCGACTCGGTCGAAGGACTGTCGGCTTCAGAGTCCTGGTCAACCAGATCGTCCTTAATGTCTTCGTCGTTCTTAAAAAAGCATATGCTTATAAACAGCCAAAGCCCGCTTCAAATTAATCAATTACCAGCTCATTATCGCTGTCTTTATCCTTTTTGCCTTCAACGCGCTTGCCAATCGATGCTTTTTGGGGAAACAGAAGGTCGATAACGCAAACGAGGATCTGAAATCCAGCCTTAGCTATTTAACCCTTAAACTTGCGGCTTACCTTACTTACCAGCCCCAGACAGGCGCCTAGAATGATTGTGGCCACGGCAAAAACCAAGTAGGAGGCGACTGTTGGTAAGCCGTACTCGTTAGTGAATTTGTTGTGGATTTGCTGCAATTCAAAGAGTTGGACGTTTGATTGAAACTGTCCACCGCCTTGCACTTACTCTGAGGGATTGGGAGAGCCTGAAAAAGGCCGCAATCACGCTCATTTGCAGAGAGTCCGGTGCTTTCCAGCTGGAAATTGGCTCCACCTGTTCCCACTTCCTATCCTCGATGAACAAGCTGAACGAATCCTCATCTCTGGCTCCTTTGTACTGTCGAAACTGGCCATCCAGCACACTAACGGAAATCGCACTCAACGAGACATGTACAGGCAAATTAGGAATGTATATACGTACTGGAATATAGTGGGTAAGGCAGTGACCATAAACCTCCCACTCAGACCAGGAGAAGTGGTAACATCCACAGCCCCAATTTTAATGCCTAGGGCAGGTCCAGACCGTCCAAACTGACTCCAGCGGGGCTCCAGAGCTTTGCAGGCCGGACACCAAGGGGCATAACTGCTCGAAAAACACGTATTTACAATAAACAATCATCGGCTAAAAATAGCCTGTGTAGGCTGCGAACTTACAAAGCCACCATCCATTCGCCCTTGAGGATCTGCGACCAGTTTTCCTCTCCCAGTTCGACCACTTTTTGGCCCCGTACACAAAGCACAACACTAAACACTAGCAAAAAGGTCAGCGAGCGCGTTCTGCTGGCCATGTTATTGACGTGTGTTTTACAAGTCGTCACTACAAAGCCGGTGTTTCCTTGGTAACTAATCGCGTCAACCAGATATATTAATTGGTCTACTTTGCACACATAACGGGGTTCCAGCTGCAAAACCACGTCAAACTCGCCACCCAATTTATCGTAAAACTCAAAAAGGTCAAAAACCTGATAAACACGGTGAGTCGAATTGTTTGATGGCGGCTTGTCAAAGTCAAAACTGAAGCAAGCTTGATCGATAAGCTCGAAACCCCCAACCAAAGCTGGAGCTGTCTCCCTTGCACTTGTGACATTAAAGGCGATTTTCCGAACTATCTGCCGATCTTCGAACCAGGAATCCGTCCCAGACAATTGACAATGACGAACAGCTGATTGGGCAGGAATCAACAACAACAATAATAAGAATTGAGGCTCATTAGCAATACATTTCAAGAGAAAGTTGGCTGGGTTATTTATGTAATGCGGATTGTTCAGAACACCGTCATTTCCTGCTAAGGCAAACGCTCGCATGGCAGTACCATAGAACTGAGGTAGGGCGCCAGCAAAAAGCGGCCAATCACGTACATTATCCTAAATTGATTGTTGCCCACTACACGCAAACAACTTTCATTCTCCAGCAACTTAAACAACATATCAAAGGTCGCAGCTGACATCAGCAGACAAGTTTATTGCGTTTTGCCGATTCCAGATTGGCAAAAATGTCTCAAGTACTTAGCAAAATCTCACTATCGTCCCCCATTTTCACCACCTGCCATGAATACGTCCACCCTTGGAACCAGTTCTGCATTCCAGCGATTGCAGGCTGTTTCCTCTATTGCATCTTCGACTCTTTGAGGATCTACGGAACAGTCTATCTGGTAGGTAAACCACTCTATAACAGTGAGGAAACAACACTGAACAAACTTTTAACTAATCAGTTTGATGCACTGTATTATTTATTGATAATTGGAGATATTGATGCGGTTTTTCAGTCTTATAATGAGCCTGAGCTGCACTCTACAGGCTCCTGCTACGTTGCCATCGACCATTCTAGGTCGAAGACTAAATTATTCAATAGCGAATTTATATTTACGTGACCGTTGGTGAATTTTTTAGGCCATTCGTCTGCAGGGAAGCATTATTTCTTCCTAATGGTTCACCAATGGCTTGCATCTTGATAAGTGCAATAAGCAAACTTCACAGGTGCGATAATCTTGCAATAAGCAAACCACCTCTGAAGATGCTAGGAAGAAATAGTAATAGTGCCGACGGCCTAATAGCTCGCTCAGCTATTATCGATAAATTGTGATCATTATATGTTAAATTTACTGAAATTAGACTGTGGCAAAACCGCGCCATGGCGCTTCAAAGCAAGCTGTTGACTAGTTGCGCGGAAATTCACGGCTTTGCCTCCTGTAGAAAATTCAGCTCAGGCTTGTTTCTCTTGGTGGTAAGGCGCTCGCTTAAGATGTACACCTTGTTGCAACTGGTAAAACCAAACCATCCATCGGAGCGTTTAACACTGTCTGGGGCTGTTTCAGTGCACCCTTCTGATGAAGGGCCGTGTGCCCACTAAGAGGGACATTCAACGCACGCTGTTCGGCATTCTGCAATCCACCGCCTTTTTGAGCTTCACCGGCTTTGGCTACAGCTTCTTCCTCTGCACGTTACGGTATGTGGATATCTGACGGGTTTAACCAGCTAATCAACCCCGTTGCAGGAGAGTCATGGGCCACTTCAACCTGTTGACCGTGTCTTTCTTCCCGGCCTTTCTATCCAGCGTGTTTGCTATCTTGATCGAAAGGCCTTCTAGAAGAACGTTGCTATGCCTGTATGTCAGCAACGTAGCTACAGAAACCGTAAGCCATAAGAATTACTTAGCGGCTGTGTGCTAAACAAGGGCTGTGCAGGTGTGGAACATGGCCTTATCCAGAGGCCTGGTACGCAACGTGCCCTATGGAGACGTGGCAATATTCGGGGCCAGCATGGCCGTGCTGTTGACTTACTATAAAGGAGGCCACCACTCATCGGTTCCCGATGCCATGTTCAAGATCCTAAGGTAAGTCGCTTGGTAGAGAGTGAGTTTATTTCTGGCAGATTTGTCGTAGGACCGTACGAGGAGAAGGACTTTGGGGCCCGCGTCACTCACGAAGCGAACACTTTCTATCGGCAGCAGGTCGTCTGCAATGACGGATCCAGAACACTTCGAGCCCCAGAAGGCGGCGCCCCGCGCCCCATGTACGGCACGAAAAAGCACAAGAACGCCGTTTGGCATCTAGTAGTCCAGATGTTGAGGATCTACAAGAAGCTGATCTATCGGGTGAAGTGCTTTGGACGGCACCAGGCCTGCCCGCATCCGTTCAGCTGCTTCTACTACGTCTTAGGGGTGAGTTTTCCTGGCAAACCCCGCCTCTGTGCATCAGGCACATTCGCTTCAGGGCACTGGCAAGATGTTCAGCGTCGGCCTGGGCATCCAGATCACCCTCAAGCTGGTGCTCAACATGAAGAAAATCGCCTCCTCCCCAAAAGCGTTCCAGCAGATCTTCCTCAAGAAGAACATTCTTAATCTGGGCTTGTTTTTGGGATTGTATTCCGGCCTGTTTCGGGTAAGACTTTGCTGGATTGAAGTTTTAAGTTTCTTTATGAACCACACAGTTTTGCAAATCCAGTTTAATCAATTGGCTTCCAGGGCTCATTGTGCGTTCTGCGAAGGATCTTCGGCAGAGACGACCCTGCTTTCGCCTTCCCAGCCAGTATGCTGGCTAGTGTGGCCTTTAAGAAATACCCGGACACGACAGTGGCTCTCTATGTAATGTGGAAGGCTGCCCAGGTACATTATAACTCTGAAACCCTCTGCCAAACCCCAGCATGGCAATGATGCGGCTATTTTAGATCACCTACAACATCGGGACTCAAAAGGGCCTAGTGCCAAGAGTGCCAGGCTTCCCAGAGTTTCTCTACTGTCTGAGCACTGGGATCCTGTTCCATGCTGCCTTATTGGAGCCTACTAATCTGCGGCCCAGCTACTGGAAGTTCTTGCATTCCATATCAGGAGGGCGGTAAGTCGGCGGTATGGGTGCTTTTGAAGAGGTTTTGATTGAGGTTTAATGAGGGGCAGGATCGCCTGCATGGCCAGAAAGCCGCTAGACGCCTGGGGCCTGAACACGTCGCAGTCTCTGGAAAAAGTGCTCAAATCGACCAAAACCATTCCAGTGGTGTGTTTTCAGTGATCCGTTAGTGGGCGCTTCCCGACTCGCTGGATGTTACTTAGCAAATAGGTCTAGGCTAGATTGTTGTTTTTTTACCGATTACTGTTATGTTTTATACCGGGGGAACGTGGTGTAGACAAAGGTTGCAAATAGAATTTTTATACTGCGCGCTCTTGTTAATTCGGGAACTTGACCCTTCGCCACCAGTGACAAACTGTGACAATACAAGCAGTAAGTACACTTTCCTTTACTTGTTAGGCTTTAGGCAGCAATGAGGATGGATAGTTTCACGCCGGTCGTCTTCAGTTATCACTTGACTTTGAAGTAGCCATCGAACAGATAACGAATCCGACACAATATGTGTATATAAATAGGAAATTTCCAGTGCTCTTTTGACCTGCTCCCGATTAGCTCCCAAGTGAATTCATTCCGTTGCCCTTCAGCCTAGAGGAGGTTTTCTACCGCTGGTCACTCTATTCGGACGAAAACTGCATTGGCAATCTTAATGACAGTGTATTGGTATTATCAATATTTCATTAGTTGTGTACACATAAAGACTAAAGGTTGCCCAAGACAGAGCCAAGGCAAAGGTCGAAAATTTCGGTTTGGTTTTCAGAAGTGAAAATTTCAAGTGGAACGCGGACAGCAGCGAAATGTCCGGAAAGTTGTTGCGAATCGGCTTTATTGGCGGCGGAAAAATGGCCCAGGCGATGGCCAAGGGCTTCATATCGGCGGGTAAGTCAACAATAATATTCTCAAATCGGGGCTAAGCAGAGCTGATAAGCGATGTTATTAGCGCAAAAAGCTGGTTTATATTCAAGTGTTTGGATTGGATTCCACTCAAGTGGCTTTTGTAGTTATTAGTTGCCTTCACTAGGTCTTACCAAGCCGGAAACAATCATCTCCAGCAGCCATCCTTCAGATCTCGCCAGCCTTAAAGCGTTTAAGGTGAATACAGGGACTTTCAACGGGTTTGATTGGGCTGATTGGGGGCGATTTGCAGGATTTGGGCGCCGAGTCCGTAACAGAAAACATCCCAGTGGTGCAAAAGTCGCAAATCGTCATCGTTTCCGTTAAGCCTCACATTGTGCCCATAGCGTTGGGCGACCTAAAGGACGCCAACATCGATGACGACAAGCTGTATCTTTCAGTGGCTATGGGGGTTACCATTAAGCAATTAGAACAGGTAGGAACATTTTCGGCAGCAATCGATGAGCTCCCTTATGCGATTGTTGTGCCGAGCGGTCAGAATTTACCCAGTTAGTCCAAAGTTTTCAGTGTAACGTTGATTTTGTAGAGCAGTTGAGTTCATTCGCCAAAACGTATCTATTAGTGAACTAAACTGGAATGCGCTCTGGGCAAACAAGGCAGCGAAGTAACAAATTTTGCGGGCATTTTAACCATAGAAAAAGACTAGTGTTTAAAGTTGCTAATGAACATACATTGAATTGCTCGGGGAATTGGATTATGATAAGCTCTTACCTTTGAGGTGTGTGCTCATCTATGTGCAACTACTCCAGTAGTTGAGTGGGAAAGGCTGGAAAGCCGCAAAAACAACGGAAAGACAGACCACTGGAAAATATCCAGAATGTTCCGTCCTGATTGTGGTTAGGAGAGTTCAGTGACATCGAACGTCAAAATAGGTTGCAACAATCGCGATTTTTCCCCGAAAATTGCACGTGCGGTCGCGTAAATACCACCAAACGTTCGGCAAAAAGTTCCGCTTTACGAAGACCTGCATTTTAATGGAGACTAGGCGAAAAAACTGGCGATTTTTGAATTAAATTCAGAGAAACGCGCGCGCTGTTTGCCCCCACTCGCCATGAAACAACTGACTGATTCGGCGCAATAGTCCAAGCGACGTTCGTTTGAAAGCTGGCAACCTGATGTTTTGAACTTCACGGGGCCCCATTGGGGCATAATTGGCATCTTTCTTTGTTCAGATCCTCCCCAAGGGCTCCAGAGTCATCCGGGTGATGCCAAACACTCCCGCTCTGGTCCAAAGCGGGGCTTCGGTGTTTGTAAAGGGCAACGCAGCCACTGAAGGCGACACCACCATCACCAAGAAGCTGCTTCAAAGCATCGGAACGTGCGAAGAAGTGTCCGAAGGGATGATGGACGCTGTGACCGCCCTTAGCGGCTCCGGCCCGGCCTATGTAAGTCCTTTGATGGAGCTTCGCAGCCTTTTGAGCGATCAATTGGCTTAGGTCTACTTATTCATCGAAGCCCTGGCTGATGGAGGGGTGAAAATGGGCCTGCCAAGGGATCTGGCCTACCGATTGGCCGCGCAAACTGTTCTGGGGGGCGGCAAAATGGTGCGCGACACCAAAACCCACCCGGGGGTTCTCAAAGATGACGTCACATCACCAGGGGGTTCGACAGCCACCGGGATTCACTTCCTAGAAGAAAGGGGTGGGTGTTCATGGCACTTCCGGACCTTTTCTTAGGTAATAAACAATGGTTTTATTGCAGCGTTCAGAGGGACTGTGATGGGCGCAATCGAAGCAGCCACGAAAAGGTGCAAGGAAGTGGCTGCATCCAGCCATTAGATTGGTGTCTTCGTAGTGTGCCCCTTTGGACTGTGGGGGGTTCCATTAAAGCCCTTTTAGGTTTTTGTGTAGTTGACTGATTGATTCCTTCGGCGTAGTCACCTGAGGCCAAATCAGGCCGTTTTCATAACGACAAAGGCCCCAAATGTATGTCAGTCCGTGGCGGCCATTTTGCCCTTGCGCAAGGGCCGTGCGGGCACTGTTGCCAGGCCAAAGGCCCATTAAATTTCCCAGAAAAATCGCAAAAAACCCTTATTTCAATCGGGATTACGCAACCTGATCCCCATCTGTGGTTTCCGTTGCGATTCGATGTAATAAAGGCGATGATTCATGCAGAAACGCGCTAATTCAAGTGAGTTGTTCAGCGACTTGGCAACGGCGGCTCGGTTAGTCAGCTGGCCAGATCAAGCTGATCGAGTCAGCCGGTGTATCGAACGCAAAAAACAGTTGAATGCCGGCTAGAATATTCGGTTTTGCGTGTAGTTTAGCGAGAAAATCGGCCATTACGGGTTGAAAGTCGCGAGTGGAACGACGTGAAATCACGTCCGGGCCGGAAAATTATCATTTTGTGCAAAAATCGCCGCTTTTCCGCCGGCTTTGGAAAAGTTTCCTTTGTTCTTCACGCCAATCGAGGAACGGGTTTCATGTTGGGGCCCTCTAACCTGGTAAGTGACGTTTTGATCAGCTGTATTTTCCAAACGCGAAATCAGCTGGGAAATTGTACCAAATCAACATTTTGGCCTGATGGAAATTTCGATTTCAGCCTGTTCGGTCGAAAACTATTGATTTTTGTCAAACTGAGTTCAATTGGGAATTTTGCAAAAAACCGTTCCGGAACGTAGCTGATAATAAACAAACTCGTTATCATGCCTAGACAGTGATGTATTTGCATTATCTAGATTGTGAGTTAATTAATTAAGGCAATTAGATGGTGACTTTCGACGAACGTTGCGACTGTCGCCAGAACAGACAGCCCAACAGTGAAAATCGCGAACGCAGCTCTTTAGGCGTTTGCCAGTTTATGCGGGTTTTCTCATGCAGCTCTTCGAAATATCTACAGGGTGTTTGAGTGGAAAATAAGGAATATATCGTTGGTTAAAGGCACAACTGCACAAAAACCACTGAAAATGGGGCCAAGTTTGATTTTAACTGCTGCAATTGGGGAACTTTTCGGGCGTTTAGGCCGCGGTTAATTATTTTCCGACGTTTGGCAACCACCAGAGGCTTACACTAGTATTTGCGAAACGTTAGAAATACTTTTTCTCAGTGAATTTTCTTGTGCAAATGCCTTTTTCCCAAATTTTTCGGGCACGACACTGACTTTTGCGTGTTCTTGCGTCGGAGCCAGTGCCGTGTGCGAAGGGTGGCACAACTCTAATGTGTTTGTTGTGCCGAGCACATCATTTGTACGTAAGTGTAGGGCATTATGAGCCTTTTTCATGCGAACTAAAATTTTCCCCAGCCATAGGCTAATGCAGCGTCGAAGATTTCTCTTTCCCGCAGCCACATACGGCTTCCACCATACGCGCTCTGCATACAAAGCGATGAATAATGAAAAATTTCAAAAGAGTTTGAAGACTTTTGCGGCCATTACTTGAAACTAATGGGTTTTTAGTTTTGCCCCGAAAAACCCATTAGTTTGAAAAATGTCAAGTTTTTTCTCTCGATTCTAGACCAACCCCACACAAAAGCAACATCCAGTATTACCGCACCGATCAAGTATTAGAGCAATCAGCAACCCGCTAAGTATTAAACAGTACCAAAGACTAAACAAGTAACAAGAGACCGAACCAGTACAAAGACATGTTTGTCCAAGCGTCCAGCAATGTACAAAAGCGCTCGACCAGCGACGATCTGGAGGACATCACGAAGCTCTGCGAGCCGAAGGCCAGCGATGTCCAGGAGCTGGCGCTGGATGTGGTGTCGAAAATGGTGGAAAGCTGGCTGGATCCGACCAATGTGATCCAGGAGCAGCCGTGCGCCTGTCGGCAGGACGTGCTGGACCACATTGGGACTCTCTGCCGGATGACCGTTCCGGGACCAACGCTGGACAGGCGCCAGAAATCCACAGAGAAACGCTCCAAAGAGCCCCACGACCAAAGCCAAAGTGATAGGGCGACTTGCAATGGAAACGAGAAACGGCCCAGGTGCAATACGGGGGACAAAACAGCCTCGAGGGGTCCCAGTGAACAGGAAAATGACAATCGGAAGACGGCCAGCGAGTACTTCGATCTAGTCGCCTTGCATTTGCCCATCATTTTGAGGCTGTGCTTCGCCTGCCCGTTTGGCCGCGTCCGCGAGAAATGCCGCAGCATTCTGGAACTGGTGCGGGTAAGTCCTCAAACCCCCTCAATTATCCACCGCAAATATCAACTCTTTCCAGAAACGGGAACTGCCCGCGCCTGTGCCCATGGTGTTGGGCCCCAGCTCCTTCATCCAACCATCGCAGGTAAGCGTTTTCATTGCAACTAATCCAATCAGCCGATTTCCGCAATTAGAATCATTACATAAAACAAAAAACTATCTAATTCGTGTCAGGTGTGTGAATGCGAGCTTAGAAACAAAACACCAGCGGTCGCGATGCTCAATTATTATTTTTCAGGGCAACGCGCGACCCGCAACAGACTGCCTGTCGCTAGGCGGAATAGCGTTGCATCGTTGTCAGATCGCGGCCCCGACACAATTTCCCGGAAAGCTTTCCCCGGTCCAATCGGGCAAAGCGCCCCCATTCGATCCCCACATGCTTTACTCCAACCACCCCCACATAACTCAACAACATTTTAATGGAAAATTACGCGGCTTTATCCTAGTTTAGTGGGCACGCGGCAACAACGCCTAGGCAATAGGTAATTTCAAGTCAATGTCATGGCTAGATCAGTATCTAACAGCGAAATTAGTGGGCTGGTCAAAAAGGTGCGCCCAGCAGGGGCGGCGCGGCCAAAAAACTCCGTACTGCCGGCAACCTCGCACGAACGCCACTGGCTCGGTGTGGGTAGGATGCAATTGTTTTTTCGCGGCCCGTAATGAAGAAAGCCCGCTAACTCGACCAAGGTTAATCGGGACGAGTCGGTCGCACTAATCCCGAAAAAACAGCTGCTTATTACGTGCGGGCTTGTTTTGCGTTTGCTATTAGCAAAACATCGATTTATTTCGGTCAACTGAGGCTTTGAAAATCCAGTTTTTTGGGAACAATTGCTCCGCTCAAACCATCAACGAGTTGCGCCTTTGATTAAAGGAAACACCTTGGAACGGGGACTGAATTGTCTAGAATGGGCGCATTCGCCATTGGGAGGAATCTTTTCTATTGAACGCGTTTATTACAAAACATACAAATAAATACTACTTAAATAGGCGTTGCACGCACAAACCAGGTGCTAGTTACGCTCTTAACACTATGCCTAATGAGTCGCTGATAATTGATCCCGTATTTCGCCTAAAAACTATCACAACCATTCTTGCGTTAGCACTGCGCATTCGCCATTCTGTGTGCAGGGCTAGTTATTGGCTAGAGCCAGGAAAAGGTTTCTGCCCCCCATCAAATACCAGGGCAGGATTAGGGTGACGGTGACGCAGACCAGGCAGGTCACCCCCATGGACATGACGTTGGTTGGCTGGGCTTCGCGCACCCACGGCGGTTCTATCAGCTCGTAGGACTTCCGGTGGAACTCCTTCACTTCCACGTCATGTTTGAACCGTACCCTGCAAGGATGAGCCAGGTTTGCAACCGCTACTGCAATAAACCAGCCGATTTTACCTGGAGTTGGTGTCTTGTTCGTCAATGTCCCGTCTCCAAATCAAGTGTCCGTTCCCATTCTTGTCCAGGATCCATTCGGGGTCGGGAATCTTGATGTTTTCGCACATTGTTTCACCAGCTGAAAGTTTACGCGCATTTGATTAACATGCGATAAGCGAATGTTGTGACATAATTCCCGTAAAACGGAGGGCCGAACCTCTAGAAGGTAGCTTTCCTTTTCCTTACCTGCTACGTGTGTTTAACCGGCGCGCTCATTCACTTGTACCGAACCACGCCGCTTCAGCCTGTTTTCGGCGATGTTTTTCACCCAAATAGTGGCACAGTTCCAATTTCACGCCCCACCGTTATCAACAACTTTGTTATTAGTTTATCCACGTCGCGTGTTCAATGATTTAAAGCGCCTGTTGACGTTTATCTGCCAATTTCACTGACGTCCGTCACCCAAGGCAAAATACCGATTACTTCATTGATCGATTGCGGCGTTGTCGAGCAGCTCCTCAACCGATTGGATTCGCGGTCTTTGATAAGGGGCGTTGGTTTAGTTGACCGGCCATTTTTCGCACAATCGCGCAACGCCCGACTTAAGTTCGATGCAAATTCAGCCATCAGGCCCGGCCAATCGTCTCAAGCGTTTCATAGTGTGCGGCAACAGTGCACTGTATGGCGTTGGGTCAAGTACTGATTCTGGTTCATAGGGGGCAGCTCTATGAACCAAAACCCCGAAAATACAGGATGTAGCAAGTAACTCTGGGTGCGCTGGGCGTGACCACTGCAACACTAATCAGCTAGGAAAATTAAAAAAAATAATTTCTAAATTAAATTAGTCACTGATTTCAGCTACAGTAGTACGTTTTTTTACATAGAAACACTTTTTGACTAGTGAATTTTTTTTTATTGAGAAATTGCTAATTAACAAAAAAGCTTGGTGCCAGAATTGTTTGTATTTTTTTGCCATTTTCCATCAAACTAACGGTTTTTTTTGTTGCAGCTGCCTTTTATGGGAACGTGCAATGAAAAGGTGAGTGTGGCTTTGCGAAGTGAGAAAACTGTCTCATAATCCGTGTTTGCCGAAAATTAACTTCGAAATTAAGCAGGCCGTCATGCGATTTTCCATTGAATGGTTGGTTCATCAGCGTGCAATTGAGGCTAATTTATTTATTTGCGAGCGGCTAAAATTGCGCCGATTCAGTAGTCGCCCTGGGCGCCGGTTCGGTTTTCCAGGATTTCCATAAATCCCCCCAGTTCCCCACGAAAACAACCTTGTTTACTTCATCATTAGACGATTATTCTACCCAGTTAGAAATGAAATGTTCCTCAAAATTGAGGGCAACGACTTTGGTTGAATGAGCGGCTAGCAGGGGCGGGCCCGGGTGGTTTTGGTGGCATGAAACCGGTTAGTTTTGGTGGCTGATTCGGGGCTCAATCGCTCCTCATATAACGAGTTGAGTGTCTTTTGAGGGCTGCTTGAAAGTGTCCATTTGCCTTTCAGGGCGTTTCGTTGCTGGTTGTGGAATTGTTTAGAGGCCGGTCCTGTGCGGGATCATGCTCCGACAGTAACAGGCTGGTAAAAATAAACATAATTTTTATAAAATGAAGGAAACCGGGCAAAAAATGCCGGCCTGAGCGATCATTCGGTTTACAAGTGATCGCCGTGTTTGCATTCTACGGGGGCCCAGTTAAACGTACCTTCCGCGTGTATAAATAGTCTGGCATGCGGCGTTTATTGGCCCCATTATCAATCCTGAGGTGTTTTCTAGTCGGATTAGGACGCCAACACCCGACATTTTTGCGATATCCACAAACGAGATTTCTGGTTCAGTGGCGGAAAATTGCACGATCAGCAACACTGCCTGTTGCCCAATCATTGAAAGTCGCAAAAAACATGTTCTGAAGTCCATGCAATCGAAGACGGCGTTGCGTAAGCCGCGTCTATTGTTGATTCCCATTAATCCGACTTAATGATGGGCTGAATCAAGTGACTGTTTATGGGGTTTGCTTAAAAGCCCATCCAGGCTTGAAGGTTTTGCCAACATTGCTGACGTGCGAGAGTTTTTGCCGATTTTTTTCTCCAAAATGTGTTTTGCGCGACCGTGTTTCTATAATTAACAATAGGAACGGACCAAAAATACCGATTTACTATAATATCCGAATATTTGGCGCAGATCGTTGACACAGAGTAAATATGAAGCGCCGCCAGGTGAACATACACGGTGGCGCCTAGAAGTCGAAATTAGCCTCGCTTTGTAGATCATCCTTTTGCTAACAAACGTTCTTAATGGTTTTCTTTGGGAAATGCTGGGTTTTACTACTTTTCGACTTTTCCAAAGCAAACGTTTGGGCATTTGGCAATTGAACATCAATTTCCTTGTGCACGCACCTGGTATATCGAGTAACTTCCCCCACTGTTTTTTTGAAAGGCCGACATCTTGACTTTTCGCCTTTGTCCTAGTGATTTTTCCCCCGCCACATGTTGCCACATCCTGGCCTAATTCCTGCATTGTTATCGTTCTGACCCTTTGCATACAATGGCGTTGATGAATCACTTTGGGGACAAAGACTTGATCCACTTTAGTCATCGCTTATTAACAGTTGAATCGATAATATCGATCCAACTTGATTTTTAATCGCGGAATAATCGCGCAGCAAACCAGTGGCAACCCTGCGCGAGGTAAAAACTGTCATATTTTCGGTCCACCGTGTACAGAAAAAAATGGCGATTTAAATGCTCTATTCAGCTCCGGCCCTACCTAGTTTAATTAATATTTATTATTTTGTTTGTGTCGGCACGGTCGGCTTTTATTAATTTCAGCCTTTGGGTTTAAAATAGATTGAGTTGGGGGCTTCGCATCGGTCCTCTAATCACTTCGCACTCCTTATAGGGGCCCCCCATAATCACAATTTCGTAAATATTTACTGTGGTTGGCACGGGATCCGTATGGCAAACGCGCTAAAACCAATCAGAACATTGTAAAATGCTGTATTTAAACAGCCGCGTAAGCAAACAGTGGTGTGTCGTCGCCAATGCGGAAGAGTTTTCACATTTGATTGAGTCGAGTTTTTCCGAACTGCGCCAGCTCGTACCGGAACGAACGTTTTTTTTTCGCTCGCCAACCCTGCCAAGGCGAAAGATTAATCTGTTTAAATCGGCCCCCTTTGGGTGGTTGGCAGTATCAACATAATCAGACCTTCACCCTTTTAGGGGCGAGTCAACAGCGCTTGTTTGCCCTTTGAATCCTCGAATCAACATAATTTTCCAGATGGCATTTGATGGGCAGGGCCGGACTGCATGGGATAATCGGATGGGCGGGGTGGTACCACTAAAACAATCGTAATCCCACACTAACACGTGTGCATGTTGAAGGTCGATTGCGGCCGCTGCTTGATGAATTTAAATCACCCATATGGGAAGAGAATAGTGCGGAATCATCAGGTTGTTGAATGGTTATCTGGATTTTTCTTGTTGGCCGTTTCGAAAAATCCCTGATGATGGTGGCCGGCTGAAACTTTCAGGGTTTATCGACGAGACCTTGTTCTTTCCAGCGAAATTTTTCTCAAGTTTTCTGCTCAATTCGTTTCTGAGTTACACATTTTCAAGCAGAAATCTGTACTTTTTGCGTCAAAAATTGACTAGTTTCGACATTTTTTTTCTGAAATCTCTGATGACAGCAGCAAATTAAAGCTCTCAGGGTTTACAAAATAGAGTTTTCCCATTCTAAAGCAATTGTACTCATTTTTCTTCTCAATTTGTGCTGGAGAAAGAACATTTTTAATGGAGCTTGACAGTTTTACTCGCGTAAAAATGAGCGGTTTGCAGAATTTTTCTTGAAATCGTCGATGATGGTGGCGAATTGAAACTTTCAAGCTTGAAAAAAGAAAACTGTGCTCTCTTCAACGAACATTTTCTCAAGTTTTCTGCTCAATTCGTTTCTGAGTTACAAATTTTCAATCAGAAATCTGTACTTTTTGCGTCAAAAATTGACTAGTTTCGACATTTTTTCCTGAAATCTCTGATGACAGCAGCAAATTAAAACTCTCAGGGTTTACAAAAGAGAGTTTTCCAATTCTGAAGCAATTGTACACATTTTTTCTTCTCAATTTGTGCTGGAGAAAAAACATTTTTAATGGAGCTTGACAGTTTTACTCGCGTAAAAATGAGCGGTTTGAAGAATTTTCCTTGAAATCGTCGATGATGGTGGCGAATTGAAACTTTCAAGCTTCAAAAAAGAAAACTGTGCTCTCTTCAACGAACATTTTCTCAAGTTTTCTGATCAATTCGTTTTTGAGTTCCAAATTTTCAAACAGAAATCCGTACTTTTGGCGCAAAAATTGACTAGTTTCGAAATTTTCTCCTGAAATCTCTGATAACGGCAACTCATTCAAACATGCATGGTTGCATAAAAGATAGTTTTTCCTTTCTTACCAGGAAAAATTGGATTTTTAAACAGAAGTTGACACTTTTACTCGCGAATAAATGGCGGTTTTGTACATTTTTTCTGAAATCACTGATGACTTTATGAACACAAACAAATTAAAATTTCCAGCTGAATTCGCTTTTGAGGGACAAATTTTCAAAACGATTCAATAACTGGTGCCAGTTAAAATTAAAGTGCCAAGCGGTTTAATCAACTGGACTTTGTTCTGTTGCCATTTTGTTTTGGAGAAATTAATCGCGAAAATACAGGTTGAAATTTTGTCGATGTGGTGCGAGTGGAAGAGGTTGGAGCGATAAATGGGTGCATTAGAAAAGGAAGGCCACGATTGGGGGCGTTACCTTTAAGGGCAGGATATGCGCACTTTCGCTCGTCTTCCTTGTGCCGCGCCCATCTTTGCTAGATATTCCACTAGTCCTAGTTGGCTGGACTAGAGGAATGATCGCGTAATTGACCCAATCTGTGTCTGCTGCTTGATTCTATAATGTTATTTATGACATTTCGCACTTTTGCCCGGAATGTGAGTGCCATTTTCGCAGCCCTTTTCGGTCGGTAAATTTGGCAATAATAATAATTATGACACATTGTTATTATTAACTTGGCGGCCTAAAAAAATCGATCCCATCGTTAAGTGGGGCTCAGGGCCATCCGGGCAATAAAATTTGTTTATTTTCGGACAACGTCGGTTTTCGATGGACGCCCAAGGCCGACACTATTCAACACACATATTATATGGACGTCGAGCAGCTTTTTTATCTTTTGCCATTCGAACACGACTTTGAACGCAGAGATGTGTTGATATCCATTTCCGACATCCACAACAAACAACATTATTATATAATTAATGTACCGAAACCGGCGATTTTTTTTTCTTCTGGGGCGCCACTGTTTAGTGGTAACTCATTTGCTCACGCTCTGGATTTTTGCCCCCAATGACTGCTTCTATGTGATCTTGTGGTTGGTTGGTTCGGGAAGACTCAGGCCGGAGTAAACCGCCGTTTCTTCATCGTGGGTCGATCTCGTCTATTAACAGGATCGATGTCTAACATTGCCAGGAATAAAACTAAAGCCTACTTTTAAAATAAACACAATTACTGATCGAGTAAATATTTGGATTGCGATTTGGGTAAACTGCGAGCGAAAAGTGGGATACGATTGGTCAATTTCGAAATTCTCCCCGGAAAGTTCGCCGGATTTTTAGAAATCTTCTCCTGCTCTGCCTGATGATGGTGGGACATAATCGAAACATTCAGATGCTATTAGACTTAATTTGTGTGGGTTTTCATTTTTGAAAAAGCGTGAAGCAAACGGTGCTCTATTCAGTTTATTTGTAGTTTTTGAAAATTGATTTTAGAGGCAAAGGCTGCAAAAACGCCAAATAATTTAAGGGATTTTTTTTCGCAATTTTCTGCTGATTTTCCCGATGAAGGGGCATTTTTTTTAACTCAAAACCAGTTTTGCGGAATTGACCCTGCTAAAACGCCCGTGGAAATTTGACTAGTTTCAAAAAATTACCCAAAAATTCCTGTTTACTGCGGAAAATTTAATCTTTCAGTGATTATTAAAGACACTTTTCTTTATGTAATGCAATTTTCCGGAAGTACCGAACTCAGTTGGTTCTTTTAATATGAATTTTCAAACATAAGTCTGTCGGAACGCCCGTTGCAAATTGATGAATTTCGCAAAATTCTCCAAAAAGTCCTGATGATGGCAGTAAATTGAAACTTTTTGGGTTCATAAAAGCGACTCTCCTCTATGCAATGCAGTATTTCGACAGTACCCAACTCGATTGGTTCTTTAAATACGAATTTTCAAACATAACCCTGCTTAAACGCCCGTGGAAATATGACTAGTTTCAAAAAATTACCCAAAAATTCCTGTTTACTACGGMAAATTGAATCTTTCAGTGATGATTAAAGACACTTTTCTWTATGTAATGCAACTTTCCGGAAGTACCCAACTCAGTTGGTTCTTTTAATATGCATTTTCAAACATAAGTCTGTCAAAACGCCCGTTGCAAATTGATGAATTTCGAAAAATTCCCCAGTAAGTCCTGATGATGGCAGTATATTGAAACTTTTTGGGTTCATAAAAGCGACTCTCCTCTATGCAATGCAGTATTTCGGCAGTACCCAACTCTATTGGTTCTTTAAATACGAATTTTCAAACATAACCCCGCTAAAACGCCCGTGGAAATTTGACTAGTTTCAAAAAATTTCCCAAAAAGTCCTGATTACTGCGGCAAATTTAAACTTTTAGGGATGATTAAAGACACCTTTCTTTATATATTTGTATTCGGGGAAAATTCCCGAAAACTCCTGATGGCGGTGGCGAATTGAAATTTTCAGGATTCATAAAACCGACTTTCTCGACAAAATTCTCTTTAAACATTTGAGAACCGTTTGCCCAATAATTCCTGATGATGATGAAAAATCGAAACTTGTGGGGGTTTTGAAAAGAGACTTTGCTCCATTGAGTGCCTCCCACCAAAACGTCACTTGTCAACAGAGTTGAGTAAAATTTATGAATCCTCTCACTCTGTCTCTTGACCATATTTTGTTTTGCAGGAAACGCGTTTTCCGAACAGGTTTTCCATCAAGGTAAGCGCCGAAATAAAACAATTATTATTAGAAAATATTTTCGCAGCAGGCGGAAAAGCGACACAACAACAAGGCGCTGACTAATCGGCAAACAATTGCAGCCACGTTAAAGTCATCAATCTCCGGGACAATTGTTGTTATTTCAGTACTCTGATTGGTCATCAACTGTCCAGCACAATTTCCCTCACAAATCTTCTTGCCAGTGTTGCAAAATGCGCGTTTCCAACCAGCCTATTTTCAGCTCGAAACACACATCTATCACATCAGATTATGTAATTTGGGTCAACAATATTTGATAAGGACTATTAGTTGGTCTATGTGTACTCTCTTTGTGTATTATATTACACGCACACAGTGGCTAGATAGATGATGAGTTCTATTTTCTGACTGTCTCGATGCACTAGTGGAAACAATGCACTTTGTCAGTTTGGTGGCCTCTTTACGAGCCCGATTTATATCTGTGCGATTATGCCCGCTTGGACCCGATTAGACACCTGGCAATTGATTTAATCATCCGCCAGTTTAAAAATACTTGCGGGGCACTTTTGATACAAATTTTAGAACTCTCAGACTACGAAAACTCGTCATCTTCATAGTCGAATTGCCAAAATAAAGGTCGGTTTCGAGCAGATGTGGACTTGCGTTGGCTAGATAAACATCCCGACAATGCAAAACAGCGAAATGACTTACTAATGAGATTTTTGGCTGGATGTTGCTGTTTTTTTTTCGTTGCTCGTGTACCGATTCGCCTTTCTGTGACGGAAATAATCATCCGATGCTAAATCAGGTGCATGATCGGAATGCGCCTGCAGGGTATTCTAGAAAAAAACAGTCTAAATCGGGTGCGCGCGGAGGCCACCACGTCTCATTGCATTTCATCCACAGTCTATAGGGCAGTTGCACATCCGCATGCTTTCAAATATCAAGCCATCCGCTCAAAAGAGGGCCAAATTGTTGGAGGTTTGAGGCATTTTCGGCTGGCTGGTGTGCAATTTTCGCTGAAATTCGCTCCAAGGTCGCAAGCTTTATCAGCCGAGCTGGCTGGCAGTCGTCAACTAGTAAATTACAACAATAATTACATTGTTATTATCACTCTAGGCCGGGCATAAATTTATTTAAAACCAAGCGACGTTTTAGTGGCAATTAATTGGGACACCCGGTGTTGGCCAAGTGCGCAATAACCACTTGGCAACGATCGCAACCAATAGCTTGTGCGCAATTGGCAACGTTGCTTGTCAATAGTCTTCAGGGAAATCCCTGCAAGTCGTTGCGACTTTCTGGGAAACGCAGTCGGTTTTCGTCGAAAAGTCGATAAACTGACTGCCAATTTCCGCCTTGTTCACGGTGCGGTTATTTTTATTGGCGCATACAATAAATCGGATATATGGATTTTGCGGTGCCCACACACTCGCTATTTAATTTCGAACTGTGCCACCGATTTCAGTCCATTCAACTTTCGGAAAACTATTCGCGTTCCGACCGGGAAACGATCAAACTGCGGTCAATGCAGCTGCGATTTTTCCCATTCGAAACGTTGCCCATCTTCAGACTGGGTTGCAGAAACTGGCTTTGACACTGGCGTGCATTGCACTTTTTTGGTGATTTTTAATCTTAGATAGATAGATAGAATTAGAAATCTGTGATGCCGGTGAAACTTTACGAACCCTGTAAAAGACACTTTGCTCTGTCCAATGAAGTTCGCCTTAAGTTTTCGCCTCAATTTGTGCTGGAGATACAAATTTTCAAACTTAGATCGACACTTTTACTAGTTAGGA